TCAATAGCTAAGACAAAAGGGGGGGAATCAATAGCTGCCTCAGATTTTTAGCAAGAATTTTCCGGAAAAAAAGAAGAAGAAAGAAACGATGGTAATAAATTGTATAATTTGCCAATATTTTCCTCGTGATGTATGAAAAACCTAAATAGACATCACCTTAACAACCAGAAAACCCTAATTCAATTGAATATCCAAAAAAGCAATACTATCACAAAAACCTCAAAATCAGTCCTTAAAGCCCAGATTAATCCATCATTCATTCATGCATCCAATATATGCATGTATATATTTGTACCTAAAAAGAAGAGGTTTTTATAATCTTATTCTAAACAGCCAAGAAAACCCATAACCAAAAACCGAAACTAAAAATGCCTGTTCACGCCTCAACGTTCAAAACCCATAAAAAAAAAAAAACCTTTTTGGAGTGAACCATGAAGGGGCGGGAGGTGATAATGCAGTGGAACTTCTTGCCATCTCTATGATCACTGTTGATGGGTTTGGGTTTTCCTCGGATGACACTTTTGCTCCTTTGACTTGTGCCATAAAACTAGTACTAATATAATAAGGTGAAACTGAATGGCACGCAACGCAAGTTTTGTTTTTCCTCACGATGACCACAACACGATCTCACTCAGTTGATAATTGACCTAAAAGTTCGATGAAATTACCTCCCCTGCCAGGCTGCCATCGTTTTTGTTCCTTAACACGAAATCTTTTTTTCGTGTTAAGAAAACCTATGAAAAAACCAAAAAAAAGAGTACAGAGAGGGAGAGTTTACTTAACCCCGTGTCCCTCTCACTCTAAAGCTCGATACAGGCTGTGTTTTCTATCTTCCATTGGGCTTTGGGTAAATGAAGTTTCCTTTGCTCTCTACGTAATAGATAAGGCTTTGGCTTCGAATGATGAGAAAATACGATGATTTTTTTTTTCCCGTTAAATCGGAAACGAATCCGGAATCTGTTTATTTATCGCTTTTTCCGAGTTTGGGTTGGGATCATCTGTGTCTGCGCTTTCCTGTGCCATGGTTTTTTCGTTGCGAGAGATGTTGACAAGTAATAAATAGGGGGGATTGATAATGATTTCGTTGTGTTTTAATGAAAGTTATGGTGCGGCTGCATTTAGACGATGGGAATTAAATAGGGACTCAAAGAATACAATGTTTTTTTGGTATGGAAGTTAAGATCTTGTGGACGATATTTGCGCAATCCCGATAACAAAGGAAGGAAATCTGGCTGTATTAACTGTACAATGATTGTATTTTAAAATATTTTTTATTAAAAAATAATTTTTAATATCATTATATTAAAAACATTTAAAAATACAGTTTTAACTAATATTATCAAAATTGATTTTAATTATTTAAAACTTGAGGTTTTTCATAGTTTGGTTGGCTTATCGGATATCTATACCGTTCGCAGCTTTTTTATTTTTCTCTCTTTAAATCCATCTTCATGTGTTCAATTTAGAATATGTTAACTGGAAAATAAAATATATGAGTTAATTATAAATTAATTTCTCTTTTTTTATAAATAAATTAATCAGTTTTTTATTTTAAAAACTAATTATTTAATCATTTTCATTCATTCTGTGCTTTTTTCCAGTTTTTTTTTGTTTTATGTTTAAAAAAATAGAAAAAAATGGATGCCTTAGAAAGATTTGCAAGGAAAAAAATACTTTTTTAAAAAAAGAAATAAATAATATTAAAAGTCAGCATAGTCATTGGATGCTATCAAAGACCTAAGTAATTAGATTAATTGATTCCTCTGGAACTAATATATTGCATACTCGTACAAAAATTGAATACAAGGCCTCTTTTATTCGATCTGCCAAGCGCTGCTGGTTGTCGATAAACTATATTGGAGTTATAGCAAGTGATTAGAATCACGACATTAATGGAACTCTAAATAAATAAATAAAAATTATTCTATTGCACGAGTTAATGTGTTCGTTATCATAGTATTCGATGTTTTTTAAAATTATTTTTAATTAAAAATATATTTTTTAATTTTTTAATTTTTAACATTAACATATTAAAAATACTTGAAAAATATTAATTTGAGATTTTTTAAAATATAAAACAATTAAAATACAAAAAAACACTCCCTAAAAAATTGATTACTCCACACGCTAGCACTGCTCACCGGGGGGAGTAACAGGAAAAACAAAACCTTTTTAAAAATGGATCGGATCAAACATGAATTTAATTAAAAAAAATAAGCCGATCATACTCTAGTGTTGTGAAAAAAATAAAACAAAAACACCCTCTATTATACAGACAGAGAAGTATTGCATGTATATTTTTTTATACGTAGAATTTACAAAACAACTATATTTAATTTTGTTTTTTTTTCTTATCATAATCACTTGCGATTTATTTTACTTAATTAAAATTAAACTTACATCCATGAACTAATCTCGCATGCAAGGAATAGGAACCGGTCTCTAAGAACTTATGCTATTAAATTCATATACATAATGAATTAACAGATGAAATTCCAACTCAAGACTTCTCTTCCTTCTAAAGTTATACACCAATTCTCACTTAGGTTCTCAAAGAATTTGTTTTCTTAATTAGATTCTCAATCAGATCCTCTAATCCAAACCCATTAAAGCTGTTAAGAGCTTCCTTCAAGCATACCATAACAGGATGAAAGGACTCAATTGAGGAATTTTGATAGAACGAGGATCCAATTGAAAATTGTTTCTCTGGATCTAATTGGGGAAAATAGAAGGAAAAAGTTTCCGTTGCCGGGACTTGAACCCGGGTCTCTCGGGTGAGAGCCGAGTATCCTAACCAACTAGACTACAACGGATTAGTGATTACGGTTCATATAATTTATAGTCTTCTATCAAGTAGTCTGGATTGCATTTCTTTAACCATTACCATAACAGTGGTGAAGTTCAATGGAATATAAAGGTTTTAAGCTTGTAGCCAACACGGGTATTTGAAAACATCGTTTGAGCTTCTATGGTACAAATACTTGGATTCAAGATGAAAATAATTGTTGTAGTTGCCACATATGCATACACTATGGTGAGAAGCTTATTGCGTGGAATTTTGAAACTTGTATTTATACAAATTAATATATATACATGTTGAGTATATGACCAAAGTCTCATATTAGTTAGAAATGGAGAGGATCATGAACAGAATTTTGAAACTTGTATTTATACAAATTGATATATATACATGTTGGGTATATGATCAAAGTCTCGTATTAGTTAGAAATGAAGAGGATCATGAGCATATAACGATGGACAAATATCTTCATTGGTATGAGGTCTTTTGGATATAGTTCAAGAGTAAATCCATAAGGGTTTAGAGCCAAAGTGAACAATATTATACTAATATGGAGATAAGTGGTGTCCATAGTCCTTACAAGTAGTATCAGAACCATGCCCCAAAGTTAGCCATGATGGATGAATCTTTGGAATGCCG